TCTTTCTGCCTTTAGTTTTGTCTTCAGCGAGTGAAATGCAGCTCAATCGGGTTGAGATCAGGAGATCGACTTGGCCATTGCAGAACATTCCACTTTTTTTACCTTCAAAAACTCCTGGCTTGCTTTTGCTGTATGTTTTGAGTCATCGTTCATTTGTACCATGAAGCGCCGTCCAATCAGCTTTGCTGCATTTGACTGAATCTTGGCAGAGAGAATCCGGCTGCTTCTGTCTTCTGTCACGTCATCACTAAACACCAGTAGGGTTGGGAATCGAAAATCAATTCCGATTCCAGAATCGGATTCTTAAGGTCAGGAATCGGATACTTGTTTTCAAATTAAAATTTCGATTCCGCCTATCGATTCCTGTGCGCTTTTTCTGTGAGGACCGGACCTAGCGATCTGCCAGGACCTTGCTCGCTAATCTGAGCTCTCCAAAGTTTGGCTACATTTGCGATCAGAAGCCAAAAAAGCTAAGTATAATATCTGTGAGAGCTAAACATGTTGCAAGAGAGGTGTCACCACCAACATTACAAAGCACTTTAATTTAATAGATCGTTAAAAATTGCGAGCACGATTCAAACACCAACGGGATTCTATTCCTAAATTACAATGATTCGTCTGTTTCGTTCCTCAACCTTTGACGTGTGCGATCAATGTTGTGATCACGTGGTTTGTCCGTGCAGCGTACGATCACACCAGTGTGATTTGAACATTTAAATCTGCGTTCGAGTGTCATTATTTCTATGTTGCAAACATTTAAATCACAGAAGTACTGGGATAAAAGTTTATAGTTCAGATATAAACTGTGTGTACGATGGTAGCGATTCAAATGGAGTCAATCACCTTTTGTAAGTAATTTGATGCTTCAAATGAAGATTTGTCGATTACATTGTTACGCCAGTAGGTGACGAAAAGGGGCTGTTCAAATGTATTTGTCTTTGAATCATACGAGAGATTCGTTCAGGAACGCTGATTCATCCAGTAATGAAACAAGTACATCTTGAGTGAGTCAGTGAATCATTTATTCATAAATTACTTCCATTGGGAGAAAAAAAGAAAAAAACAACCTTAATTTATCCAGAATCATGGAGTTCTATTTTGATCACAGTTTTTATGTTGCCTGTTGATTTTTGTTCATGGTATTCAGCTCCAATAAATGGTTTGCCAAAAAGAGAGACAGGATAAATGTTTGATATCATTATTTAATCACATTGGAATCGAAAAGAATCAGAATCGGAACTGATCAAATTCAAACGATACCCAACCCTAAACACCAGTAACCCAGTGCCACTGGAAGCCATGCATGCTCATGCTAACAATTGTTTCACTTGTATGGAGAGATTCTTTGACCGCATGATGTGGGTTCAGAGCAACAGCTTCCAAATGCAACTGGCACACTTAGAATCAACTCCAGACCTTCTACCTGCTTAATTGATGTAGAAATAACGAAGGCTTTTTAAAATTAAATTAAATTAATTTTATTTTTAATCCGCGTGGACAGATATTTCAGTTTGTTGGCTGAAATTATGTATTTATTTGTGTATTTGTGTAATTATTTAATTAATACATTTTATTTATTTAATTGGTGTTGGCAGATATTTCCTATTTTGGGCAACAATTATTTATTTATTTGTTTATTTATTTTTTAAAATCCGTATGGGCAGATATTTAAAAATTTTAGGCTTATTACAAATTAAAAAATCATTATAATCCAGCTAAATATAAATCAAAATGAATATTTCACCTCTTTCTAGTCCTATCTAGTCCGAGTCTTTCATTCATTTGTCCCTTGACGGACACAAAATAAAGGAATGGCTGATGAACGGCCCATCTCTGTTCTGATCGTCATGTCATCTGTGTGTGTGAGTGTGATCTGATCACACCGATGTGACGTGTCTGTCAGAGTCCCAGGCCTCGCGTTCATCGCTGGTTTGTTGGCGTTTTGGTCTGAAGGGATGACACGCAGTTACTCTATGCCAGCGGAAACACACGCTCGCATGCAGACGAACAAAAAGACATCCATCTGTTTGTGAGGAGTGCAGCGCTGACACCAGAAACACCACATGGAACGTCTGATTGAAATGAGACGCTCCAGGAAAATCACTTCATCTTTTTTGTCAATTTTTTCGTCACCAAATCTATTGATTTGACCAGAATGGTTTCTAGTCTTCCATGGTTTGGACAAACAGGTCATCCAGCCCTAAAACAGACTAACCTCTACCATGCAAAGCCTTTCTGAAGCAAATATGCTGGTTTTGCTAAGAGGCTTCAGTGTTAAACAGATGATTTCATTTATAAACCTTATTAGAGATACACAATAAATTGACTCCATAACGCTTACTGGGGTTATATGCCTTTTTGTTTATTCATTTATTTATTTAATGCTATTGGCAAATAAAGTATTTGATATTTACTGCAATATTTATTCATTTATTTAAATATTTTTAATTTGTATTGGCAGGTATTTGATATTTCTGGTAGTATTAATTTGTGTTTTTTACATTTTTATCGATATTGGCAAATATTTTATATTTCAGGTAATATTCATTCATTCATTTTTTTTTTTTAATCATTAGCAGATATTTTATATTTTGGCCAATACTTATTTATTTATTTGTTTGTTTATTTTCTCAGATATTTGGTATTTCTGGCAATATTTCATTAATTCTATATGGGCAGATATTTGATGTTTCCTGCAATATTTATTAATTTATTTTGTAATCATATTTGCAAATGTTTTTGAATATGTATTTAATAACTTATTTTTTAATTGATATTCTTAGGCAATTTCTAATTAGTATTGGCAGATACTTGTTGTTTATGGCAATATTTATTTATTTATCGGTATTGACCGATATTGGCAAAATGTTTATATTTTGGGTAATATTTATTTATATGGGTTTTGGCAGATATTTCATATTTTGGATTTGTTTCATATTTCTTTTTTAATTAATATTGTCAAGCATTTGATATTTTAATCATTTTCTGCAAATATTTGATATTTCTGGCAATATTTAATTAATTAAAATTTGTTTTTTTTTAATCAATACTGCCAATTATTTTATATTTTCAGGCAATTTTAAATGGGTATTGCTGGATATTTGATATTTCAATATGCCTATTGGCTGGCAGAATTTTAAAGGAACATTTATCAATTTTTCATACTGCACAATATAATGTAGTTAAGTTCACTTACTGTATTTATTATAGCTTTGAATCCATATATATAGAGCACTAGCATGCTGTCTAGTGAAGATGTGCTGATAATGGCAGGTGTTTGTGCTGTATTTGTCTGCTTTCTGTCTTCTGGACACATCGAGTCTCGCCGGCTCTCCTTCAGCTCAGCGTGTCTCTTAAAGGCTGCTGAATATTCTTCTGTGGTGCACTATTTATAGCAGCATCCTAATTATCTGTGACCCACACACGCTCACACACTGATCTCTGCCGCACACATCAAACACAACACACTGCCGCTGTGTGAGCTCAAGATGTTGCTTCAGGATCCAGCGCTTTGTTTCCTTTCGTGAGCGTTTGGTGGAAGCGGTAAACAGCCACCTAAGACCCTAGCAACCACATAGCGACGCACTAGAAAGCATCTGGTCAAGTATGACTTTGAGCAGCAGATGCTGGTTTTCTGGCGCCTCTGTACAGATGTTTGCTAAGAGTTGAAGAGATGTCATTAATAAAGTATAACAGACATACACAATATACTCTCTCCATATCGATTACTGGGTGATATGTAATGCTGTTCGTTCATTCATTTATTCATTCATCTAATTATTTTATCTGTATTGGCAGATTTTTCATATAACCAGCTTTTTTTGTTGGTTTGTTTGTTAGTATTGGCAGATATTTGATTATCTATCTGTCTGTCTGGTCAAATGATATCAAATATTTGATATTTCCAGCTTTGTTTGTTTATTGGTGTTGACAGATTTTTGATATTTTGGGCAATATATACTTATTTATTGATATTGAATATTTCACAGGCAAATTAATCAATTTATTTGACTTGGTGTTAGCAGATCGATTGATTGATTGATCATTATTGGCATGTATTTGACATTTCCAGATTTTTATATTTATTTGTTTGTTTGCATTGTCAGATATTCAAATTTTTCATCTATATCAAGAACGCTGTATTATATATATATATATATATATATACACATACATTTATTTATTTGTCAATCAGTATTTAATATTTTTCTGTAATATTTTATTGATGCATTTATTTAATAGGTATTGTCAAATATTTGATATTTCCAGCAATATATTTTTTTCTTTATTTAATTACTTTCTAATTGGTTTTGGCAGATAGATATAAATATATACATGCATACATATTTATTTATTTATTTATTTATTGCATTGGCAGATATTTGGTGTTCTGGCAACCACATAGTGATGCACTAGAAACCACTCAGAACACCTTAGCAACTGCATAGCAACACAATATATACTTATTTATTGATATTGAATATTTCACAGGCAAATTAATCAATTTATTTGACTTGGTGTTAGCAGATCGATTGATTGATTGATCATTATTGGCATGTATTTGACATTTCCAGATTTTTATATTTATTTGTTTGTTTGCATTGTCAGATATTCAAATTTTTCATCTATATCAAGAACGCTGTATTATATATATATATATATATATATACACATACATTTATTTATTTGTCAATCAGTATTTAATATTTTTCTGTAATATTTTATTGATGCATTTATTTAATAGGTATTGTCAAATATTTGATATTTCCAGCAATATATTTTTTTCTTTATTTAATTACTTTCTAATTGGTTTTGGCAGATAGATATAAATATATACATGCATACATATTTATTTATTTATTTATTGCATTGGCAGATATTTGGTGTTCTGGCAACCACATAGTGATGCACTAGAAACCACTCAGAACACCTTAGCAACTGCATGGCAACGCCCTGGTATGTAAACATCTGTATCATGTGACTCGTGTGTGTGTTCTCAGGTGCAGGTGTGTGTGACGGACATCATCATGCTCAAAGGCTCTCGGTGATCCGCTCCTTCCCATGATTCCTCACCAGGCCGCCCCATGCCAACCCGTAACCATGACGACCACTCGCCCCCGTGAGCCCCTCCGTCGCCCGGCGGCCGTTTGACTGGATGAGGAACCCGGCCTCCAGTGATGTGATGCACAGGTTTGAGGTTCTTGGGATTGTGGGGGAAGGTGAGTACCGGCAGACCATACCAGACTGAAAAACTAGGCTAAAATAAAGAAATGAAGTGGAAAATACAGGATAAAGGAACACTTCATGCACTAAATGCCCTGCTTTGTCCTGTGTTTTTCCATCATTTGTCACAAATGCTTTTTATGGCCTTGTTTTTTGAAGCTCTTGATGGGGTCACATAATGAAAAATTGAATTTTCCTTGATCTTTGGAAATAAACGTTTGATGTATCATGAGAACTTGCTGTAACCTTCAGAACTCAGGGCAAAAAGCACTATAAATTGAGACTAAGCTGCAAAAACAATTCATTTTTTGCCTCGTTTTTTGTTGTCAGATGACATGACTGTTTTGTTTTTAATGCCGTCTTTGAGAGGTTTATCTGAAATAGAGCACTGAAGATTGAATTTTGAAATGAATTCACACTTATTTTCTCTGAATCTGTGCGTCAGTGTCGTCAGATCACAGTCTCAGGAGCCTGATTTGGGTCATAATTTTATTCTGACAAAGTGTGCAGTTGCACTTAATAACATGGCATGGAAGAAAATGCAAAATTGCACAGCGGCGTCGGTGTGCTTTTAAGTGGAAATTTGTATACAGAGAGGAATATACAGTTCTGCTTGTCGATATTTATTTTACATTACGTACCTCAGTGAGTAGTTCTTACTGAAAAGCACTTGAATGACTCCTTTAATACATTTAATAAGGCATTTTTTTTTATTGTACTCATATATTGTACTGTTCAGAAGTTTGGGGTCTTTCTTTTTTCAGCAAGGATAGCTTAAGTTGATCAAAAGTGACATTTATTATGTTACAAAAGATTTCTGATTCAAATAAATGCTGTTCTTTTGAACTTCCTATTCATCTGTGAATCCTGAAAAATATTCAGCATCAGTTTCCACAAAAATATTCAGCATCACAACTGTTTTCAACATTGGTGATAATTTCGTGAGCAGAAAATCTGCATATTAGTAACACTGAAGACTGGAGAAATGATGCTGAAAATTCAGCTTTGATCACAGGAATACATTTTATTCTAACAGATATTCACATATAAATCAGCTATTTGAAATTGTAATAATATTTCACAATATTACAGTTTTTTCTGTATTTTTAATCAAATCAATTCATTTTTTGCCTCGTTTTTTGTTGTCAGATGACATGACTGTTTTGTTTTTAATGCCGTCTTTGAGAGGTTTATCTGAAATAGAGCACTGAAGATTGAATTTTGAAATGAATTCACACTTATTTTCTCTGAATCTGTGCGTCAGTGTCGTCAGATCACAGTCTCAGGAGCCTGATTTGGGTCATAATTTTATTCTGACAAAGTGTGCAGTTGCACTTAATAACATGGCATGGAAGAAAATGCAAAATTGCACAGCGGCGTCGGTGTGCTTTTAAGTGGAAATTTGTATACAGAGAGGAATATACAGTTCTGCTTGTCGATATTTATTTTACATTACGTACCTCAGTGAGTAGTTCTTACTGAAAAGCACTTGAATGACTCCTTTAATACATTTAATAAGGCATTTTTTTTTATTGTACTCATATATTGTACTGTTCAGAAGTTTGGGGTCTTTCTTTTTTCAGCAAGGATAGCTTAAGTTGATCAAAAGTGACATTTATTATGTTACAAAAGATTTCTGATTCAAATAAATGCTGTTCTTTTGAACTTCCTATTCATCTGTGAATCCTGAAAAATATTCAGCATCAGTTTCCACAAAAATATTCAGCATCACAACTGTTTTCAACATTGGTGATAATTTCGTGAGCAGAAAATCAGCATATTAGTAACACTGAAGACTGGAGAAATGATGCTGAAAATTCAGCTTTGATCACAGGAATACATTTTATTCTAACAGATATTCACATATAAATCAGCTATTTGAAATTGTAATAATATTTCACAATATTACAGTTTTTTCTGTATTTTTAATCAAATAAATGCAGCTTTGGTGAGCAGAAGAATCCAAAAACAACAACAAAAACTTACAGACCCCAAACTTTTATACGGTAGTGTATTTCTTCGTCTCTATTCTGTAATATTCAGTCAAGGTCTTTATATTTAACATGAACGTTGCATTTTTAAAGATCTTGTGCATGACTTATGAATGTGCTGTATTGTAGGGACGTGTGTGTTGAGGTGTATGAAGTCGACCTGCAGCTCCTCTCTCTCTCTCTCTGTACATTTTGTATGAGGGTGTGGTAAAAGTCTCGGGGGATCAGGTTATTTTTACTCTTTCATCTATCTCTCACACTCTGATGCCCCACTAACACCGCGGCGAGTGTGTGTGTGTGTGTGTGTGTGTGTTGAGGAGGGCTGGTGGTGTGATCGTTGGGTAAGATGTGTGCTTTCTCACAATGAGTCTTAAGGGTGAATATCATGAAAACCGTAAAGTTGAGGTCATATTGAACCCCAAAATCTGAAATGACATTTTGCCTAAAGAAAATGAAAGCCATTTGCAACATTTTCTTGCCCTGTGACATTGTTTTTCATGACAGTGATGCAAATTAAGATGCTAATGGGGTTAATGTCACTGAAATAACTTCAAAATATAACTCACTCTAAGATGAACTATATTTAGTAGCCCTAACCCTAACTTTTGGGAACATTTGTAAATGATCTGGACTCTGGGGTTGCAAAAACTATGTTGTTCATATTACACTATAATGTCAGGTTTATTATAAAATTAGTTAGCTTCTACTCTTTTTATTTATTTTTATTTTAGTTTTTTTTAAATATTGTAAACAATATACATTATTTGGAATAACAATATGAAAAAAAAAATGTTATGTGTAATTTGCATTTTGCGAAGCCATCGATAAATATATTAAGAGATGTGAGTAGCAGGGCAATTTGAAAATTATTTTCATTTTTGAATTTTAAATTGAAAACATGGGGCGCAGGGCAGTTTAATAAAAAACCTGCAAGTTCTGGAGACAAGTTTTTATAAAGTTTACCATCTTTTAACATGCCTTTTTAAAACAACATGTCATGTGCAAGATGCTGCAAAAGATGCGAGATGTGGGCGCAGCTTTCAACGATATCCATCTAGTGTGTATTTACATAGAAAAACAATGGAAATGCAGTACAGTTGAATGCAAAAACGACCCCTAACTCTACCAATTTTAAATGCAAAACTATTGATATATTGATTCAATAAATAAACTGTAAAGTAAAATTGTAAGTGGGTTGTTATTTGTCCTGAAATTTGGCTTCCTGGAACTCCGCCTTAAACAACATTTTGTTAATTATTTTATATAATGCTACTTTATTAGCTCATATTAGTGGGAGTTAGGGCTGCCAAAATGGCTAAAAAACTACATTTGAATTTTGTACTTAAATATTATTACATTTTGAATTATATTCAAATTTAAAAGGCATAATTTCAGTTAGGGTGAAGAAAAGCTTTTGGCTTCTCTCCTGAGGCCACAAGAGGGCGCATCGAGCAAAATATTACTAATGCACGTTTATTCAAAGCATGAGATAACATGACTATCTGTGCAAAAAAAGTGCATAATATTTAAAATAATGTTTATATACCAATTATAATTAAGTTGCTTAAACAACTATAAACAAAACAGCATCTTGCATGTATGCATCGTTTAATACAAAGGACCGAAAGCCAATCACACAGAGTAAATTTTGGCATAATTTCAGTTAGGGTGAAGAAAAGCTTTTGGCTTCTCTCCTGAGGCCACAAGAGGGCGCATCGAGCAAAATATTACTAATGCACCTTTATTCAAAGCATGAGATAACATGACTATCTGTGGAAAAAAAGTGCATAATGTTTTTAAACCAGTTATAATTAATTAAGTTGCTTAAATAACTATAAACAAAACAGCATCTTGCATGTATGCATCGTTTAATACAAAGGACCGAAAGCCAATCACACAGAGTAAATTTTTCATTTAAAAACATTTCCCAGTGGGGTGGGGAAAACCCCCCCCGCCATAAAGTCTCGAGATATGTTTTTTCAAAGTTTAACTTACATGAATTTTACATGGCTTTCTAAAGACGCGAGTGGGTGAAGAAAAGCTTTTGGCTTCTCTCCTGAGGCCACAAGAGGGCGCATCGAGCAAAATATTACTAATGCACGTTTATTCAAAGCATGAGATAACATGACTATCTGTGCAAAAAAAGTGCATAATATTTAAAATAATGTTTATAAACCAATTATAATTAAGTTGCTTAAACAACTATAAACAAAACAGCATCTTGCATGTATGCATCGTTTAATACAAAGGACCGAAAGCCAATCACACAGAGTAAATTTTTCATTTAAAAACATTTCCCAGTGGGGTGGGAAAAAACCCCCCGCCATAAAGTCTCGAGATACGTTTTTTCAAAGTTAAACTTGCGTTAATTTTACATGGCTTTCTAGACATGCAGCTCTTTTGTGCAAGATGCAAGTGCAATGGTGATAGATCATTCCCTCTAGAAAATGCGCAAAATATGCACATTCTGTGTAAACGGCTTGGTTTTAGTTTTGATCAAAACAAAACGTAAACAAGATCTTCTCTGCATTGATGTTCTCTTTTTCCGCAATAATAGCTCATATTAGTGGGAGTTAGGGCTGCCAAAATGGCTAAAAAACTACATTTGAATTTTGTACTTAAATATTATTACATTTTGAATTATATTCAAATTTAAAAGGCATAATTTCAGTTAGGGTGAAGAAAAGCTTTTGGCTTCTCTCCTGAGGCCACAAGAGGGCGCATCGAGCAAAATATTACTAATGCACGTTTATTCAAAGCATGAGATAACATGACTATCTGTGCAAAAAAAGTGCATAATATTTAAAATAATGTTTATATACCAATTATAATTAAGTTGCTTAAACAACTATAAACAAAACAGCATCTTGCATGTATGCATCGTTTAATACAAAGGACCGAAAGCCAATCACACAGAGTAAATTTTTCATTTAAAAACATTTCCCAGTGGGGTGGGGAAAACCCCCCCCGCCATAAAGTCTCGAGATGTGTTTTTTCAAAGTTAA